GAACTGAGCCACGGAATCACAGTGAGACCCCCCCAGAGGAAATGGTGGGCATTAAAATCACCAAGTAACAGAATCGGTGGCGGTAATGACGAAACAAGAAAGGCAATGTCCGGAATAGATAATGCCCGAGGAGAGAGATATAAAGAACAGAGCGTATACCACCTATGCAAGTGGATACGGGTGCTCTGTGTAATGCAGCGAAGTACGAATAAATAGCTGATGGTACGGAATATCAGTGCGTAGAAGAAGGGCACTTTCATTAAAGATCCCATCAGGAAAAGGATCTGAAGAATACAATAAATTATAGCCTGAGATGGGAGAGATAACAGCAGAGTGTAATTTTGGTTCCTGTAAGCAAACACCAACAGGGGAAAACTGGGAGAGTAACATCTGAAGCTCACCCCGATTACCCCTGAGGCTGCGTATATTCCACTGTAAATAGGCCATGATTGGCAATGATAAAGATACCTGAAATCCACAGGTAAGGGTTCCTATGGACTAGAGGGGTTAGAAAAGTCCGCATGCGGAGGCAGTGGAAAACGTTCAAGCAGCGAAGGAACGGTGCGCTGTGATGTGAAGAAAGGAGTTGCGCAGATGGAGTAGAGGAGAGAGAAGGAGCGGAGGGTGGATCAGTGTCCATTGATGGTTTGGTCTCTGCAATATATTCAGAGATTGCTTCAAGTGTTTCAGAATTCAGAGACATCGTATGGGAGACAATATTGGAAATGGTAGGGGGAGGATGAGTAAAGATTGGAACTGTAATGGACTGTACCAAGGTAGGGAGGGGGCGAAAGGGTGGAGGGAACTGGAGAAGCGTGGAAGGGGACAGAAGAGGCAGAAACCTGGGAGGTGGCAGAAGAGGAAGAAACTTGGGAGGGAACAGGGGAGGAAGGTACAGTACGAGGAGGAGGGTGAACCTCTACACTTGTAACAGAGCCAGTGAGAGGGGGAGAACCAGGTACAGAGACAGGGAAGGGAAAATGAGGAGGTGGAAAATGGGTAGGAGGTGTTAACGGACCTTTTTTTTGACTTTTGAGAAGTAGAGGGACGATTGGGAGGAGGTGCCATACGAGATCTCGTCGCTACTGAGGCTTGTGAGAGAGAACACGAAGAAGCGAGATCAGACTGAGACGTTGAAGTAGGGACGTCTGAGCCGAGGACAGCAAAAGAATTAGCTACAGGAGTGACTATGGGAGAGGTAACCACAGAGGTGGGTGCAGAAGATGGGATACCAGAAGTGGGGGGACGTTTCGAAACACGGGAATAAGAAACATGAGGTAGTCTCCCTTGGAGGCGGAGATGAGAAACTGCCATGGCATAAGGGAGACCTTCTGCCTCTTTGAGGTAACGAATTTCCTGCTCATTTAAGTAGACTTGACAGCGGCGAAAGTACGAAGGGTGAGCCTCATGACAATTATGGCAAGAGGGAGGTCAATTGCAAGACGTATTAGAATGGTCATCGGCACCACAGACTGGGCATTCGGCGATAGATCTGCAATATTTCGCTGGATGGCCAAATCGCCAGCAATTTCTACACTGTTGCGGTGTAGGGATCACCTTTCAAACTTGTAACCGATGTCCTGCTACATAAACTGAGGATGGGAGTTCACGGCTGTCAAAAGTTAAACAAGCCACATTGCTAGGGTATTGTCTCCGCCCGCGGGCAGGAAGAACGTAAGTATCTACCTTGAGGATTGGGAGATCTTGGAGTTCCAGCTGTTCAAGAATGTCAGTGCCACATGTCTGGAAATTTTGTTGAACTATGGTATGGGGCAGAATGACAGTACCACTACAAGAATTGAGGGAATGATGCTTTTCAATAGTGACAGGAACAGTATCGATATGGGAAAGACGAGAAAGCTCATGAGCCTGGGTAGCATTCTGTACGGTGATGTGCATACCGCTCTTAAGAGCATGAAAAGAAATATCTTTACCAACATGGCGTAAGAGTGCCTTGCTAATACTGTGGTCAGAAAGATAGGCAGTAGAGGAAGTCAGTTGTAAAGTGAAGAATTTAGTCCATTGTGCAGTCTGAAACTGAGCGTGGAAAGGTAGTGAAGGATGTGTCGATCTTTTCTGAGAAGAACGAGAAGGTGGAGAAGTATCATCAGCAGGTAATTGTCGTTGGCATTTAGGCATGGGACCAGAGTTGGTCCGACGTGGAACGGGCCGGCGATTCGAAAATTGCCGCACCGTAGAGAGAGAGGCGGGAAGCATAGTCAGAGGAGAGTGAAGGTCAGATAAATTGAAGGAGTCAGTCGAGCCTCAGTACCTGAAGCGGGTGAGGAAACAGCACCGGCAAGAGGTACAGAGGCATGAGGAGTGTCCGAAGAGTGGTCCAAAGACGAGGCGGGGTCAGAACGGGGTGCGGTATCAAGAAGGGGCCCGGGGGTAGCAGGTTCATGGACTAGGGCTGCCATGGTTAGGTTACTTCTTTCTTTTTGTTTTTAAGAAAAAAAAAAGAAAGAAAAGAAAATAAAAATAATAAAAAGAATAAAAAAAGGGGGGACCGGGGAGTGATAGTTCCTAGGAGGAATGAAAGGGCCAGAAATCTCCCTCTGCGCCCAAGAGGACCTCAGCACCGCAAGTAGCGCAGATGCAGCATGGAACCCATGCCATACCCTACCCATCATGCCAGTAAACCGGCAATCCGGGATAGCAACCTCACATCTGCCGAGCTACCTCGGTGGACAAAAGAGAGGGCGGCCGGAAATCCGCCACAAAGCATACCTCCTTCGGCCACCACCCCCGGAATCCGAAAGGTGGCTTCCAGAGATACACCCGTCGCCCGAGAGACACCCAAAGCCACCCTCTGGGATACCAGAGAGGGATCAGGACATCCCCAGGCAATCCAGATTCCATGGCAAACTACGCCACCGCCAAGAACCTCAATGGAATGGGATGGACCCCGGTACCCTTTCCCCTACCTAGGAACTAGCGTGCCTGTGGGGAGAAAAAAAAAAAAAAAAAAAAAGGCCAAAAAGGAAGGGCAAAAGGGAGGGGTGGGGAGGAGGAGGAGGAAAGGAAAAAGGGGAGGATGGGATAGGGAACGGGGGATTGGGGGGTAATTAGGTTCGGTCTGAGGAAGTAGACCGACAGGTCTAATTCCTCAGACCAAGAGCCTCTTCACCACGCCAAGGAGCCCCCCTTGAAGAGGAAGTTGGATTAAACTTAATTAAATTGCGCTTGTTATAATAAGGTTAGGTAAGTTTTCTAAGATTCTTTTGGTAAAAAATTATTAATTTTTACATTAACATATATGAAAACAAATCTTGAAACGTATGACAGAAAATTTTAGAAAGGACTTAATTTTAAACGAGTTCTTGCTAATTGACCAGTTTTACCTATTCGGCACGACATTATATATATATATATATATATATATATATATATATATATATATATATATATATATAATATATATATATATATATATATATATATGTATATGCAAGGAATTTGCAAGAGCAGGCGAAATATACACAAACACTGATCTCTGGCTGAAGGAGACTCGAATCTACGAACCTTGGAGCAAAGTACACAGTGCTTTACCAATCTACCCACAATGGACCAATACCTTGCATGTTAATATCTCTAGTAAGGCTGATGCATGCAGGGGATGAGATGAGAAGCTGTAAGCCTTCTCCCTGTAAGCTGCCTGCCTTGGATCAAAGTCTAGCGCAAACTGGACTCCAAGGCATTGGTCCAGTGTGGGTAGATTGGTAAAGCACTGCGTACCTTGCTCCAAGGTTCGTAGGTTCGAGTCTCCTTCAGCCAGAGATCAGTGTTTATATATATATATATATATATATATATATTATATATTATATTATTATATATATATATATATATATATATATATATATATATATATATATATATATATATTGCTCATGTAGTCTTCATTGAGGCTTAAGTTTGCCCGAAATGCTCTGCATAACAATGGGCTTTCTACATGCGTTATTAACTGTTATTCATTTTTTGAACAAACAACGTATGTGGAAATAAATTATTAATCTGAATTTGAGTTTCTAAAATATTAAATATACATACATTTCTTCCCTCATAGACATTCTTTCAACAATCTTTAACTATTGCTAATACTATATTTTCCAAAACTCCGTAACAAGATCTGTTTAAGATTACCACTTAAGATATTACTCCATATTCTAACATCTCATCAAATATAGAGAGAAGTCGAGGTCGCAGAAGTGGATTACTGTCCAACTGTTTCAACATCCTTTCCCTGTGCTCCTTTACAAGCGTTTCATAGTCTCCATCAGTTATATCATCCAGATCCATCACCTCCCCTGCCTGAGTTACCCCCAATGGGCCCAAAACCCCATCACCCCAAATTAAAAAACCAAAAACAAGTTCTTCTTGTGATTTTCCCCTCCCCGTAGTTCCTGAGATTTAAACCCAGTTTTTTGGTTTCCCTCCGGGCCCCCCGCACCTCTCTTAAGGGACTCATATTTAAACTTTTCAAAAAGGGTTTCCCCAAATTTCCTTCCTTTCGGGCCTTTTGAAATGGGGGTAAGAAGTAGTTGGGGTCTGTGGCGGGCGAGGCTTTGCGGCTGTTTTGGGAAGTCCAGCAGTCTTCCATCGACCGGGAGCCTTTCTCATCGTACCTTTGGAAAAATACTTACAGTAAGCCCATTTTAAAGGGCCTTAACAAAAGGGACTGTCGCTAAAATAAACAAAAGGGTTGGACAGAGGTCCAAACCTTTGGTCCCGAGTTTTTAAACAGGTCCATCCCGGTGGCTAAATTTTTAAACCTTTGGATCTGCAAATTTCCTGAACCACGGTTAGAGTCCCCTGAACCAGGGGTTTCCCAGTAAAACACCATTCACTACAGTGAGGCATTTGGGAAATTCCCCCAAAAGTTTTGGATTTTCATTTAAAATTTTCAAGAAAAATTTTTGAAAAATGAGCCCTTAAAAAAGATGAAAGAAAATTTTTTTTAATATAATTAATATTCAGTGGGGCAAAAATTTAAAAAAATAGTTTTTTTTGATGATTTTTATTGTAAAAAATTAAAAATAAGGTTGGAATTTGTAATAAAACACTAAAACATTGGGAAACAAGAAACTCGTTTGGGGGTATAAATTTTTTGCAAAAAATTTTAAATGTGTAAAAGGTCTCAAGGCCAAAAGGAAATAAAACCCACTTTTGATCCAAAAAAAGGGAGAAAAACCCACTTTTCCCTGTCGTGTGAAAGGCACGTAGACTTGACCCCCGAAAAAGGACTTAACCCTCGGACCTCTCCCATGGGACGAAAAAATTTAGCGACCCGGGCTTGGCAAATCTGAAAAAATAAAAATTCCCCGTAGGCGCTGCTAAACCGAAAGGGGTTTTGGCGCTTTCCTAGGGAATATAATATTTTTCTTACTTGAAAAAGAGGTTGTTGTTCCAGCAGTCACCATGAAAAAGCATTTCCAAAGGGAGGACACTTCTTTATTGTTTCCAGGAAGATGTCGCTGCTATTTGGGCAAATTTTTTCAGCCAATCACATTTTTCTTTCCCCCGTTTCCTCGGGCAATCTCTTGAATTCTGGGGCTTGTGATGTAAGCATTTTTTTTTAAAGTAAAACGCCTCCAAATTTTGATTTTGAAAGTCTTTCTGAATAATGTGTTTTGGGCCCTTCCAATACAAATGTTTTTCCCTTTTTCTGTTAAAAAAGTTAGGGGGCCGCGTAAAAGTTTACCTATTTCCTTGAGGAAAAGGGGACAGCGTGGGCCGGCCCAAATTCCTTTCTTTACGGTTAAAAACATTTTAAAACCCTTTCCGGGGCCCCGCAAAATTTCTCCAAAAAATATAACTTCCTTTTTTGTTCAGAAATATGACAAAATAGCAGTGAGGGGGGGTCCCCTTTAATTTTCAGGGTTCCTAAAAGACTGACTGAGCTTTGGGGGTAAGGGCAAAATTCCAGGTAAAAACCCCCCCTCCCTGAAAAAACTGAGTCGAAAAATTTTTCATTAAATTTGGAGGGCACGAAATGGATTACATTTCCCCCAAAATGAGGTTTTCCTTTTCTTTTCCTTCTTTATGAAACAAAATCCCACTTGTCCGTTTGATGCGTTTTTTGTCGCCCTTTTTTAGTGAGTCTGTAACAGTCCAGGGAGAGCACTGGGGGCCCACTGCTGCCTTTTTGGGGGATTCAGAGCTTGTTTGACGTCCCGAACTTTTGATGGAACTTCAAATATGTTTTCTGGGGGAGCCTCTTTCACCTCTTCTGGACTGCTTCCTTTATACTCCCTCTTCTGCTTCCCTCCATTCACTGTATTCTCTGCTTGCCTGCCTTTCACTCCCCTTTTCTTGTTTGTCACAAAAACCGCAAAACCCAAATGTCAGAAATAGTTCATTTTTTTTTCCCTTTTTTATGTTTAAATAGTAGAAGGATGGTGTTGGGGGGAGGGGGATGTTAGTGACTTACAAAAAACCCGTTGGGTCATTCGTGAAATTTGAGTAAGGGAGGCTTAGCCCCTCTTTCTTCAAAGGGGTTTTTTTGGGCGTTTAATTTTGGACTCCCATTAAAAAACAATAAAAATAGAAAAACCCAGGGAAATTTGGGGGTTTGGTTAGAACCCAGGGGAATTTGATTTTAAAAACTCAAGGCGTGCAAAAACCCATTTGGGCAGTTTGGTGATTCATTCAACGGGTATATTGCAATCGTGTTATTACGATTTTGTGAATAATTTTTTAATAAAAAAAATAATAATAAAAAAAAAATTAATAATAATAATAATTTTAATTAATAAAAATTTAATACATCATCGTGCCACCCGGGAGGATTTTTTTTTCCAACATTAGTGCCCCAAACCTTTTCCCCTTTTACAAATTTTTAAATTTAAAAATTCCATTTGACTATATTTATATTTTGAAGCGTTTTGCTGTTAAAAATGGCTTTTTGAAGAAAAGAGTAGAACAGTTGATTTACAAAACCCATGACCTTGCAAAAAAATATAAGGTAATATTTCGTAATCTTTTTTTTTAATTTGATTTTAATTAAACTCTGAATAAAAAACATTTACTATTGTCACCTAGATAAAAACTGAAAATAGTTCATTCCCAAATTGTAACTTGATTAGTTAGGAAAAACTTTGGGGCCCCCTTTTTTTTCCCTGACTCACAAAATTTTTAAAAGGGGCCCCGTTTGCAAACAAACCATCCCTCGGGCGGGGATAGAACCGGGCGATCAGAGTTAAAAAAACCCCCAGACTGAAGCGTTTCATTATATCCTTTTGTATTCTTTTGACTACCCCCCACGGGAGGGGTTTTGGATAAAACCCCACAGGATTGGTTTTAAGATGACTACCACCCACAGGATGGGTATTGGAGGGGCCCCTTTTGCCCCCAAAAGGGGGGGATTGGGTGACTACCACCTTTGGAAGGATTGATGACTACGACCCCAGGATGGGTATGGGGTGACTGGGACCCACAGGAGGGTTTTGGTGACTAGGGCCCCCACAGGAGGGTATGGGGGGGGACAACTATTGGGGGTTTTTTCGATACATGGAAATGGGGTAAAAAAACCACGTAGGCTGGTATTTCGAAAATTTTTTATAACGGAAGGTATGGGAAGGCACCAACAGGCCGGGCCCCCAGCCTCCTCGCCCCCCAAAAAATTTTGGACTGACTCACAAGTGTTTTCATTTGAGAGGGGTGGGGGGTTTTAAAATTTCCTGTTTTGGTCACCCGCAAAATGTTTTTAAGTCAGTTTTTTTTTCCAAAACAAAAGACGGTTGGTAGGGGGCCCATCTACTGGTACACTGGTTATGGTAACTGGGTACTACTGTGAGAGTTTGGCGACCCCTAACGTATTTTCGTCCCGAAAATACAACAAATTCAAACTTAGAGGGGCAGGTTACGGCGGGGCTAAATTCTTTTAACAATGCCCAAAGTACACAACTTTGAACTTTATAACATCCCAAATTTAGAAAAATTGGAATGGAAGCTTACGTAACTAAAAACTTAAAAAAAACTGTTGCAATAAAAGGTTAAATATAGCACAACTCATCGAATTTAAACTCAACATTGGGATTTTCCCAAATTAAAAAGTGATAAAAAAAAAAAAATTTATTTGATCGATCTGTATTTTATGTTTTTTTTAAAGGTTTTTTGAGGAAAGGGAAAATTTTTAAAGAAAGAAATGTTTTTAAAAGAAAGGAGGCGGTGGGGGACTCAAAAATTTGACTGTTAACTCTCAAATTCGGAGAGAACGTGAAAAACAAAAAAAAAAAATTTTGAATCTGATAATTGATAATTAATTATTCATCTATTCAGGTTATTTACTTTAACCCCAAATCTCTAGGGGGAGAAAGCCCTATGCAGAAGGGTGTTTATCTCTGGGAGGGTCAAACTCTGTTGCAAATGGCTAACTTCATACCCGAATTTTTAGGGCAAAATGGGAATTTGGGATTTTCAAATATACTTGAGGAAATTTTTCAATTTTCCTGTCGTGTACGTAGGGGAAAAAACGGGCATTAGGTTGATCGTCTGGCTGAGTGCAAGGGGGGAGAGGGGTACAGGTTTGGAGGGTTGTCAGAGTCGTCACATTTGTCCCGGGTTGGAACCCTCATTATCATCACATAAATAAAAATTTTATAAGATTAAATGCATTTCTTATAAGGGCCAGTACAAAATTTTTCTTTCCCTTTTTCTTATTTAACCCGTGAAAGTTTAACAAACTCATAAGGGCCAACAAACTTTTTATCAAGCTTTGGGATTGCAGACGTTTTGTTTTAAAAATTTGTCAGCCAAAAATCTCGAACCTTTCTTTTTATTTTTGGGTGGGGTTTTTTCGAGTGTTGCGACTCTTGTAAATTTCGCGGTTTATTTATTAAAAATGTTTCCAAAAGGATTCTTCTTTTAAAACCCCTTTGGCTAAGCTGGTACGAGTTGCTAAAGAAATCCAGGGTTGTAAATTTTTGGGTTTTGGTTAAAAATATTTGCTACTCAAAAGGCCCAAAAGTTTATCCAAACCCAAAAATGCATAATTTTGGGGTGTCACCTTTCGAAACATTGTAAGCAGAATTTATGCACACTGGACAAAGGTATTAAAATTATCCCAAGTTTCACTGTTGGGATTTATAGTGGCTTAAGACAAAAAAGTACTTTTCTTATTTGGGACGTTCCGCTAACCCCCTTGCTGAGGGGAAAAAGAGGAACAAAAGGTGGATTTAGAGGGTTTGTACAAGGTGCCAAAAATTTTTTAAGAATTTCATTTCAGAAAATTTACCTCCATTATCTTAAATAGGGGGTTTGGGGTTGGGATGCCCCCGATTTAAAGCCCTTTTTTTAAACCTTTTTCTTTCTGTCTCGGGGTTTTTATTCTGCAATAGGAAACTAACTAAAAAAATTGGTGAAATGAAACTTCCCCCCAACACCAGGTTT